AAAAATAAATGAGTGGCCAATGTGATGGTTATCTAAAAATTGGATTTATAGCGATTATGATTTTGACTTGACTCTTGTTGTATCCCAGACTCGGATTTAATGGTTTCATATTGTTGTTTACATCTTACTTCCCTTGTGTTTCCTTAAATTTGATTATGGGATTATTGTGGTTGCGTTTGGGACAGATTGGTTGCCTAGTTTCCAGATTTTTGTTGCCCATAATTTTGCTCCTCCGCTCAAGCGGAACTTTTTACGTTTGAGCGGGATTTGTAAACTTTCAGTACTTTTACAGGTCTACAAAACTATTGGGAGAGTGTATTCTACGCGCGAATGGTCCTTTCTGCGTTCGAACGGCCGTTATTGCACTCGAGCGATTGGTCTGTTGTCTGCAAAACTACTAGAAGTGTGCATTCTGCGCTCGAGTGTCAACTCTTGCGCTTGAGCGGACTGTGCGTATATCAGTTCACAGCAGCATTTTTTTACATCACTTTTTCACATCTTTTTCACTCTAAACCCTAGATCGGGACCCTATCTCTCTTAAACTCACTCTCTCTCTATATTTTTACCTAAATCCATTGGTCTAGTGTCTTGGGAAAAAAAGTAGAGCATCTCAAGAGCTCTGTTTTGATCCGAATAGATCTTGATTTCGGCATCTTTAAAGTTCCTCCACTTCTCCCTCGGTCTTCTAAGCTTGAGGTAAGGGCTTTCTATACTCTCCTATGATTTTTAACTTAATTATTTGTTGTTGTGTGAAAAAATGTTGGGATTTAGAGGATTTTAGACAAACCTAGGGTTTTGATTTAAAATCAAAAGAGAAGTTTTCAAATGAGAGTATTGAGAATGGTTATGGGTATAGATATGAGGATGTGTTGTGTTGAGTTTGTTGATTTTGATACATGGGTTGGTTTTGGGAGAGAATGGAGTTTTGCTGTAAAATGTTTAAAATAATTATTTTGTGTAAATAATGAAATTGGCATTGGAAATCTAAAACTAGACGAATGTTGATATCAATGGTGGAGTTGGATGTATGTTATCTCTCACCTATGGAAATTCATATAATTTATCTGTCGTGAAGATTGTATATCTATTTAGAAATATCTGTTTTGGGCTATCAGCGGAGGATATGTATGATTGTTGTAGAAATTACATGAGGATTGGGTAAATTGAAATTAATCTCTTATTGGTTGTCATTGAACATGACTGTGTTTTAATATATTATATATGTATGATGTTTGCGAGGAGAAAGAGGATGTACTCCATGTTTAGGAGAAGAAAAATGATGGATTCTAGCGAATTAAGTTGGTCTGTGTGTTCAGGGTAAAAGTTCAAAAAATCGCTTGTATACATCGGTGTCGATCCCGCGGACGAAATTTCTGTAAAATGGCAAATGAATGTGTTTGTATGATAACTATATTTGAAACCCGATGAGTTGTATTCTTAGTATTGAGTTATTGAACAAAGTGAATATGAACAATGAAATGAGATGTAAAACTTGGTATACTATGATCTTGTAAGTTATTAATGATTTTATCACAGACATTATATTTATATCTTTGTTAAGATTCATATATTGTGTTAGATTGTTTTTACTTGGATTTAGATCACCCTATTTAGGAAAAACTATTTTTAGGTGTTGAAGATATGCCTTCGCCAAAGACTTAGCGTGGGAGGATTGTGGAGATGAAGGCTCACTTTTGTTTATTTTGTATTTACCTTTTGTACAAGCCTAGAGCTTTATTTGTACTGAGCTTGTGACTCATTTTGTTGTAACCAAGCACGGTCTTGGGAATATGTAAGCCATTAGGGCATAAGAATATTTGTTTAGTTTTCATTCTTTATTTATGTCTTGTAACACATGCTCTAGATTCAGGATGAACGATTTATGAATGTATATTGCATGCGTCACCTTTTGTATAATAATTCTGATTAATGAAAGCTTCTTGTTGTATCTATACCACTTTGTATTGGTGCTTGGAGTTGGATTATTGTAATTATTTTGAGGGCGTTACAGGATTGATATATAGCATAAAAATCAATCAAATCCACTTTTTACACTACTTTTAATACTTGATCCAGTAGCTCATACACATCATAACTTAACAAATTATTAAACATAAGTTTAAATTGATTATTATTAACTATTTTCAGTAATTGATCGATTAATTTTTAAATCGAGCCCAAGGTAGGACTAGAACAAGGTCCATATTTTAGGTCGATCCAATATTATATAATATTTTTATACATAAATACACTTAATTATTTGTGTAAGAATTGTTAATATAAATATATAAATTTGTTACAATAAATAAATAAATAAATATGCCAAAAATATACATACATTTTTTTATTGTGGTTGTAAAAAATAATCATGATATATTTACCAATTTTAAAAATAAAAAAATAAATGGATTAAGTGATCATGAATTGGGTATGAATGAAGATAATTCTCCAAGAATTTAATTGTTGGCATAAAAATTGATCTTAATATAACTTCTAAACTACTTTTAATGTTTAGTACTATCCCTCAAATTATTTCATACTATTCAAAACCTGAGAAATCATAATATTATTTAAACATAAAATTAAATTGATTAGTACCAACTATTTTTATTAATTGACAGATCAAAATTTTAAATCAAGTCCAAATTATGGTTAGAACAATGCCCATATTTAAAGTTGACATTATTGAATAATTTTTTCACACGTAAACATGTTTAACTATTCATGTAATCATTTTAAGTACAAATATAAAATTTTAACAAAGTTTGAATTTTTTTAATAACTATGCATAAACTTGTACATATTTCAACAATTAATTTTTACTATTTAATTTTAATTTTAATTTTAAAATTAATTATTAATTATTTATTTGAAACCATGCATAGCATGGGTATTACACTAGTTCCAAAATTATAATAAATTATTTATATTGTATTATTCAAGAATTTGTAATAATTCTTTTTAAATTTAAAACATTGATAAATCATTAAAATCATTTCACAATCATTTAATGAACATTCTCTATATAAACCTGGAATGAAAAAGATCTCAGTCCGGAGTTAGGTAGTCGGATTTTGCTTGTCAAAAAGACAATTTATTCACAAATAAAAAATATATGTAAAATAATATATTCATGATATTTTTAAAATTATAGGATTAATGGAACAGTTCTAAAGAATCATAAGAAATCGCATATTTTGATAAATAAAAAATTACATATAAAATTATATTTATATATAATCACTCTGTCAAAAAATTGAAAAAATTACAAATTAGTGATACTTTCCCAAAACAATTACAGATTTATAAAAAAAATTATGACTTTACGTCTTTAATCATTAAAATTTGTAAAATTTATTTTGAATTTATAATTATTTTTCAAGAATACAACCGATTTGTTATTTCTCCTAAAAAATAAGGGCATCCATATTGACAAATTCTATTAAATTACACTTTATCCCTTTAATTATTGTTCCGTATCTCTTTATCCTCCCCAACTAAAAATTGTAACAAATCCCCCCCCCCCCCTCCCATCTACTTCTTCTTCTTCTTTTTTTTTTTTTAATTTGGACATTTAGAACTAAAATACCCTTTTATTAATTGGATAAATTGTACTTTACCCCCCTTGAAACTATCACCTGTATCACTTTCAATTTGGAAATTCTTATTTGTTTACTTTATCACTAAATTAATATTTAGCTTGTTAGAAGAAAAGAAAATTGAAATCAAACAATGAAAATATTTATGAAAAAATCTTTAAAAATGTTCGCTAAAGATAAGGAATATTAAAATATATCAGTTTTTGGTTTTATTTTTTTTGTCTTTACTGATTTTTTTTTAAAATTCTTCACAAAGATATAAATTTTAAGTACATCTAAAAATTTAAATTTTTTTACTAAAATATGGAGAGAAAAAATTACTAAAAATAAGAAATACTCAAAATTATTTATAAAAAACTTAAAAATTAAACATTATTTTAGTTGAGGGAGTCGAGTGATAGTTCAATTGGATAAAGTGTAATTTACTCCTATAGTTAAAAAGTCATTAAAGTCTAAATTGAAAAGAATTAATAGATGAGAATAGTTAAGTGTTACAATTTGTAGTTCAAAGGGTTAAAGTGATACAAGAGAATAGTATCAATGGAGGTAGTTAGATTATCTAGAACTCACTCACCTCACTAGGAAGTTAGTGGTTCGAATATTTCCATTTATGTGTGTCTTATTTGTTGTATATTAATTGGGGTTTTATCTCCTTATTTGAAGGTTTCTTTGTATTAATCATGTGTATTGTATTTTATCTTTATTACTATGATTATAATTCATGGGATTTCATTGTACAAGCTTGTGTAAATGAAAAAAAAAAAAAAAATTAAGAATGTATTCAGATATTAAATTTTTAAAAATATATATAAAAGAAAAAAAAAGTTAATTTTTTTTTTTAAAATTCCCTTTACTATTTTCTTTTTTTTTTAAACTCCACAAAAGAGAGCTTCGTTGGTGTCATCATAGCAACCCGTAGGCTTTGATTTTTTAAACTTATTACTGAGGCACCAGTGGAGCTCATCTACCACTCTAACAAGGCCAAGTTTCGATCAGAATATAGGCCCTTTTTGAAAAATGAGTTATAATTCACTTCCCGAATTATAACCCACTTCCTCTCTCACAAAAAACAACTTAAAAACAACTTTTAATCAAAAAATTAATTATAACCTCTTTCTAAAATAGCTAAGATTTCTGCAGAGAACCACCGAAAAACACCGCAACATTTCGCGGCCCCCAAGTCGAACTTGACTCACTGTCGTATAAGGCCACAAATTTGAATCCAGTTTTGTTAAATACTTCACAAGGTACAGGAAAAAAAGAATCACATTTTGACTGATCCAAAACAACAAAATTCCTTGGTTCGAGGGGCAAAATAAAATTTTTATAAAAAAAAATAAATACAGAAATTGTAACATGTTAATGGTTTGGGGCTTGTTCCAACCAAAAAAAAAAAAAAGTTTGGGGCAGAGAGAAATAACTTCATACTTTGAGGGTACAAAGTTAAATTTCTCCAACAGTTTATGTTAGACGCATATTTCTAGAGTTCGGAACAGTGGGCTGAACTCTCAGAAACCCTAGCTTTGCGTCCAACTCTGCAACGCAGCCCATGGTAATCTCTCTCTCTCCCTCTCTCCCTCTCTCTCTCACTTCTTTCTCGTTTGGTTGCCTAGAAAATTTTAGGAAAAGAAAGAAATTTGAACTTTGAAACTTTGCTGTGTTAATTACTTGAGGTCTGAGAAAACTAAGTGGCTGGGGTTTGTAGATTCTTCTGAATCATTTATTATTAGTTGATGCTAATTTCTAATATCAAATGCTGATTGGGAACTAATGGGTTTGCTCTGAAATTGAGGTTTATTGTCATATTTCTTATATTATGCGATATTTTGCAAATGCAAAGGATTTCTTAACAACCAAAAATTACAGTGTTTAATTATTCCATTTTTCTCCTAGTTTATAAATAAATAATCTTGGTTTATTTTAATTTTTTTGGCTTCTATTCCTCTGACAAACAATATTATTTATTTTTTTTCCTGATTGTCAATTCATTCATTTAAACTGTGAGATTGAGCTCTGGTAGAACCTTACATTGCTAGCACTAGTTGCTTTATTGAAGTCATGAGGTGCAAACAATGTATTCCATATGCAGGGAGAGGTTGATGGTTTACAAAAAAAAAAATTAAAAATAAAATAAAATTGGAGTTTATGGTGAATTTGTAACTTGATGTTTGAGTTTGGAGTGTCTCTGAACTCCAATTTGGAGTGTCATTATCAATGTGATCTGAATCAACTTGATATTTAAAAATAAAATAAAATTGGAGTTCACTTTGAGTTTGGAGTGTCTCTGAACTTTGTCCTGTTGACTAACCATCAGAATGGACGTGATCTTCACCCTTACTTTTCTAGATGGATCACATTTTATATTTTTTTTATTATTTTAATTTATTGTTTTCATTTTGGCTCAAGTCCAGCACACCTTGTAATTTTTTCAGGATTCTAGCCTGTACCCTTACTTTCTTAGATTGATCACAGTTTTAAATTTTCTTTATAATTATCGTTTTGGCTCAAATCCAGCACATCTTGCATTTTTTGCATGATTTCTGTGTCCACATTCAAAGAGGTTTACAGAGCCTTAAATGAAATGAAATAATGATTATGTCGGTTGATTCTATGCTTGTTGCATGTTATGTTGATTTGTTGGTTGGTTTCAACTTGGCTGTTTTATTCAACACAGTTGTATGACTTTTTCTTTTTCTTTTTCATTGTAATAGTAATTTCTTTTATCATTCTCTGCAAAGCTGGGAGTAGGTACTCATTTGATTAAAAAAGTACTAATATGAATTCTAGAATCTACCTATGTTACACGGATTCTTTAAAATAAATTAAATACCAGTGTTAGACACCCGACACTCAGACAAAGGTATAGGATATGTGTTGTCAAATACTTTTCAATGGATACTTTTTATATAATTGTATATAATACTATTATTATATATACATATTGTTGTGTAATTACTATAAATGCCTTTTTGACGCTGTAAGTTACATATAACACCATTTTATCTCATATGCTTGATTAAAAATATAAAAGTATATTTTTTTGTCGAGTCCGTGTACCCTTAAGTTTATGGTTTGATGAATCCGACCTCTAGATGCATACTCGCACCCGACACCCGTACCCAAGTCCATGTAACATAGGAATCTACGCAAGTTTCACTTGACTCAATTTTGCAAGGGTAAAAATTTATGCCATATATATTGCACCAAAAATGTTTAAGAATATTTTGAGGAGATAGTGTATCCTGCTTAAACATCAGTTACCTTTCAGCTATGCAACAGGGGTTCAGTTAATCAAGGTTTCTATTTAAAAGTATCAGACAGTGTTTATCACAGCTATCCCAGAAAGTGGGATTTGTTTGTATGACTATCTTGGCACATTTGATCAGATGTTAGTAGACTTGCCTTCAATAGCCTTGCATAACTAGATTTTAGCCAGTACCCTTCTAGTCATTAATTATGGAACATATCATTACACGAGTATCCATTGGGATCACCTCACATGCTGCATTCCATAAAGGAAAACCTCATGAAAATCATGCTCACAACTCATTTTACACCTCCGAAATTTTGTACCCTTGTTCTATTTGAATGAAATATAATATTCTGTTGCAGGTTAATGTTCCAAAGACCAAAAAGACCTACTGCAAGTCCAAGGAGTGCCGGAAGCACACCTTGCATAAGGTTACTCAATATAAGAAGGGGAAAGATAGTTTGGCAGCACAAGGGAAGCGGCGCTATGATCGGAAACAGTCCGGTTATGGTGGACAAACAAAACCAGTTTTCCACAAAAAGGTAAATCTGTAAAATTCATTTCCAACGTTTGTTTTTTCGACCCAATGGTATAATTTTTATTTTCTAGGGATCCACGTATATGCATTCAGGGATGCTTCTTTGGCTATAAAGATGGGATCATGGGAAGCATTACTGTTTCATTCATCATGGAAAGCGTAAATATATGTGGTTGTTAGATTTCCCAGGATGATAATTTTATGTACTTGAGTGCTTCCTTATAGGCAAAAACCACGAAAAAGATTGTGCTGAGGCTGCAATGCCAGGGTTGTAAACACGTCTCACAGCACCCAATCAAGGTTAGCTTCTTTTAACCTCCATCGACTCTTTCAAATAGGCTTCCTTTGGTGTGTTGGTTTCTTGTTTTATACGAGGAAAGTGATCAACAATCAGAATTTTTATACAAAAAAACTCGTCTAGAGTGATGTAGCAGTCATGATGATAGTTGTTTTAGCTTGAAATGATCGAACAAAAGCATGATGAATTCTGTATGAAAATTTTGTTTGTATGACATTAGCTTTTATATGAATACTTGTTTTATTGCCATTGTCTGCAGAGGTGCAAACATTTTGAGATTGGTGGAGATAAGAAGGGCAAGGGAACTTCTCTATTCTAAGTGGGCACTTAATGGAAAAGTGCACATCTGCTCTGTTTACTTGAGCTTTCAATTAAACTTCTTTAGGTTGGATTGCAAGTATCTGTTCTAGTTAATAGTTTTGATATGATGTTACATGTTTCTTCCATGTACTCATTTATTTTATGAGATTTCAAACACCTTTTGTTTTGAATGCTATAAGTTTGTAGGTTAAGCATATATAGCCTTTCAAATTTTTAATATGCTCTATGTCAAATTGGGTCTGGTGTATCTTATTGTAAATTAAAAGTTGATAATCATAAAGCTAAAGCCAAAAACACCCTTCCTTCAACTTTCAAATAATCTGTTTATATAAGGTATTTTTACTTGATAAGTTGTAAGCAGAAACTATACCAAACAATCTGTTACATGCTCTCACAACAAAATAAGCCATAAGCTGCAAACAACATAATTTTTGCTATTGGATTGGCTTTCTTGCTTTACAAGATTTTTTGTGATTAGATTGGATGAGTTGATCCACTATTCCATGTCTATTCTCAATGGTTTTCAATGGGATACTAAATTAAGCATTATTTATTTTAGAATTAATTGTTAAGGTTAAAAAAACAAAACAAAACTACCGTATTTTGAGAGATAACCAAATTTATACATCACCTACCAACCAAACCAAAAACACACCAATTTTAGCATTTTGCAAGTCTTGAGATAAAATAGATTGAAAATGAATGCCTGATTGGGGACATTGGCGGGGGCCGAACAAGATGATGTGGCCCGTGATTAAATCTAACTATGCAATTTTTAATGTAAAAAGGGAATTAAATGGGCAATTAAATACCTAGTTAAATCTAATTATGTAATTTCAAAGTGAAAATAGGGAATTAAAAAATAAATAAATGAACAATCAAAATTTATTATGCAATTTTATTGTCAAAAGAAAAAAGAAAATACATATCAGTGGTGTTTTTAAAAAAATTATCACAAATTAATAATAAACTCAATTTGTAATATTTTTTCGAACACACTGATGTGTATTTTCCCATAAAGAAAAGAAAGGATGAAATATTGAATGACAAAAAGCTTTGCCAAAATATTAATTTTTGGATTTGCTATGGTGTCAAAAAAATATTTTTTTTTTCATATTTTATTTTGCACTACAAACTCTAACATCTATTTTTGTCCATTATAATTATCAACAATGATAGAGACTCCCACAATTCCTAAAGTGATCCACACCACTTATGATATGAGCCCCACACACACATGAGTGGGCCCCCACACATCATGAGTGGTATGAATCACTTTGTAGGTTGTAGACACCACTTATGATATGAGCCCCACACACACATGAGTAGGCCCCCACACATCATGAGTGGTGTGAATCACTTTGGAGGTTGTAGGATCCTCCAATAAAGGAGTCTCACTCATTTTCTTATAATTATTTTTCAAAAAGCATCTAGTATAGTCTTATTTTTTTTTTGGTGTGGCAAATTTGATATTCAAATCCTCTACCAAATTTGGCACATCATTGGATGAATTCTTATTAGTGGGCCCCCACACATCATGAGTGGTGTGAATCACTTTGGAGGTTGTAGGGTCCTCCAATAAAGGAGTCTCACTCATTTTCTTATAATTATTTTTCAAAAACCATCTAGTATAGTTTTTTTTTTTTTTTGGTGTGGCAAATTTGATATTCAAATCCTCTACCAAATTTGGCACATCATTGGATGAATTCTTATTATTATTTATTGTTATTTTTATGAAGGTACTAACTAAAAATGATTTTTTTGGGGAACAGTAACTAAAAATGATTTTGACTCAAATATTTGACATCATTAAGATTGCTCTAAACACACTATTGAATTTCTAGACAATAACTTGTTGAATAAAATATATCGGAATATGACATAGATCTCAAAATGGAAGAAAGCATCTACATAGAAAATATATGAATCTCTACATATGAAGAAAAATAATCTTTACGTAAAGAAAAGAAAATTATAATGAAATGAGGAAATCTCTATACATAAAAACATTATTGCAACACATGAAAAAATAAATAAAAATCAAAACAATCGCCACTAAACAAATATGACAAATCACCTTTACAATTCGTTAGTCTTCCTAACCGTAATACATTAATCCAGGCCTTTACAAAGTAAAAGAAACAAGTTAAGTATTGTATGGTACAGCCTATATAAATGCACTTCTGTAGATTTTGTTTGAAAAGTGAGTTGGTTTTTGGTTATTTTAATTTGGGGTTAAAATGTTTGTTTAGATTAATATTTTTTTGACTTTTTGTAAGAGAAAAAGTGAAATGATTATGATTTAGATGTGACATTTTGTCTTATTAATTTTGTAGTCTATTTTTGACTTTTGCCAAACGAGGACTTCGACAAGTGCGGTTATTTAGGTCACATTATCTGTTTATTTTTCTACATATTTTCTCATAAAAAGTTAAAAAATATATTTAATTAATCATACCAAATACTTCTTAAATTTTAGTTTAAGAGTAACTTGTCTAAAGGATAATTTAACTTAAAAAATATATAAATTAATAAATTAGACTTGAAATTTAAGCCTATTTTCAGAAGTAATAGCTTATCGATTTTTTAATTTTTTTACATTACCTCTTTATTTTTATTTTTTTTACATATTTTAAAAGAAATTAAAAAATTAATTTAAACCTATTTCTCAAAATAGGTTATTATTTTTTAAAATATCAAAAGTGAACAAGCAATTTGACAAACGCACGAAAAGTGGAGTTTACAGAGAGAGAGAGAGAGAGAGAGAGAGAGAGAGATCGGCCATAACCAGATACAACACCTGACCTGACATACTCTCTCTCAGAAATCGCCATACGATCTACACCGTTTGACTCCCGGAACCACTCTCTCACTTCAATTTCCAGCACACATCTCTGTTTCAAATTCATGCTTATTAGGGTTTGACACAGACTCCACCTTCATCAGATCATGGTAAATTTCTTCAATTTAAACTAGTTGTGTTGATGTTTTTGTTTATTGTGCATAATGTATTTGAATCTATGCTTGTTTAGTTTCTATGTGAACTCTTGTGTTCTGGGTATTGGATGATTTTTTATTTTTTTTTTGGTTGCTAATTTATGATCCAGAATTTCCTAATTGGAGCTTTCAAGCCACCTTGTAACATCTCAATTTCATTTGCTGACGCAAGAACTCGCAAACAGGTACGTAATTATATAAAGAATAGCTTTCTGAAGCTTTGTCGCACAATTTGATTTCCAAAAATGCTCATAGAATTGCTAACTGAATGAATAAACACACCACATATAGTAAATTACTGTTAATCAAATTTCAAAACCTACCCATGTTTTTCATTCAACAAAATGCCCAAAAATTTAGTTATAAAAGTGTACTGTATACCCGGTGCTACTATATATATGTAAGTTTACTGGCTAACATTCTATTATGTGGTGGAAAATCGATGGGGGTTGTGTAGGCCACTACAAAGGTATTCTATATGTTCAAGGCCCAAATCTGGGGCACTCTGACTGTGCTGTGCGGGAGGGCGTACACGTACCCATCTGGAAGCTTAGCAAATTTTAGGACTTTGATTAGGTTTTTAATACAAATGATATAGATTTTTTCTTGTTATACATGGGTTGCATTGCACTCCCTTGGTTCCTTTTTAATAATCCTTACTTATCCCAAAAGAAATCTTGTCTTCATAATTTTCATTGTTGTCGTGGACGTGGGAGTTGGGACCAAATTTGATGCAATATAATTGGTCAAACTATTCTGCTTTAAGAATCTGTCAAAATATTTGAAACTTTTGTATGGTTTCCCGTACAATGTATGTGAACTGCTGATGCTATACTAGAAATGCCCCATTTCGATGTTCAAGATGTGTGAAGAATGTAGGAGTATTTGAGAACTATGGGCTACTAGTTCAAAGTAAAAAAAATAAAAAAATTTTGTTTCAAGTTGTCAAACACACATCCATATATAGTTTAAAAAATGATGTAGGACGAGTATGGAGAGGCATACTCCCACGATGAGCTCCAATATTAACAACAAAAAAAAGGCGTAAGGCAGCACTAAATAGGGTCTTTGAATATAATAAACTTATTTATCTCTACCTAAAGTTTGCTAAATGTACAGAGCTTAAGGATTTGTAAATGTGTAACGAAGGCTATGAAACTTAGCAAATATCAAAGGATTATCAATATTTGATAGGGAAGCGACTCCCTTTTAGGAGTATCCTTTCTTATAGCCAATATGTATCCTTAACTTTAGGGATTGCTAGGATAAACCTCATAATAGAAAAATAAAAGGAATTGTCTATTTCTCTTATCTTCATCTGTAAAGTTCCCATAATCAAAACCAATATCATTAACCTCATCTTTGGATTTCTTCGGCTTTTTTTTGTGTTCCAGCATCATTTGCAAGGCTATTTTAGGCTTTGCAAGATTTTGAATCTTTTGCTTTAATAGCAAACTAATCAAGATAAGTTCAAGGACAGTCTACAAAAAGCTTTGTAGTTTGTACAAAAACTGGTATAGGATGGGTGGGTTTGTAGAGGTTTTTTTAGATATGTTTAAATGGTTTGTGGCTAAGGATTAGTCAAAAGTGAGCATAGGGTTTTTGAATATGTAACAAAATGCTTAGGCAAGAAAAGGTGAAGTTGTGGGGATGCAAAGAGTACCCATGAATATGCTACATATGGTTTGTTAGGTTTTTCCTTTTTTTTTTTTTTTTTTGTGTGTGCGCGCGCGCGCGGTTAAATAATTGAAAGAGGAAAGGGTTAGAGCATGTGAAGTTGTATTCCTAAGGGTGCAAAGTGGATGACAAGAAGGCTAACGGTTGTATTCATTCCTTCAATATTTGTATTTATATAAGTTATGCTCAAAGTGTATGATAAATATCTCATACTAAAATGAAGTATAGACACATACCACAAAACAATGGATGTTCTCATTATTCTCCTCTTTATTTTTCTTTTCTTTTTTTGTTCTTAAATTTTCACTCTATTTGTCTTCATTTTTATTTTTATTTTTATATAGGTTCCATTGAAAAAGGAAAATGGTCAAACAATTATGGTTCCTCTCTTCCAAAGCCAAGAAAACATTGTTGGGGAGGTAACTTGTGCATGTCCTTTTCAAGCTTGCATGTGGTAGTATTTGGATGTTTCTATATCACAATTGCAAGCTGGAGATGATTTCTTGTTTGTTCTATGTACAGGTTCTAATAGAGCCACAACAAGGAAAGAAGGTTGAACATACCGGCGTGAAAATTGAGCTCCTTGGCCAGATAGGTCTGTTTAATTTGCTTGAGGATGTAACTGACTACGTGTATTTTGTTTGGATCATATTTTCCTTTTTGTTTGTTTTTCCAATCTTATGAACAAGGGAGTAATATCCAAGATAAATCATAAAAAAATAATATCCAAGATCAAGAAAGGGAGGTGTCAATGTATTGAAATATATGGAGTTGTTTCTTTTCTTTTGTTGTGTGTGTGTATGGAATTTTTTTATTTAATTTTTGGTAAATTCATGGTTATAAGGGCATGATTAACAATGTCCTTGTCTTATAAAAGCAACTGGGCTTTGTGAAAAAAAAAAAAGAAAAAAAAAAGAAAAGGAAGACACATGTATGCATGTGTATATATGTCTTTAATTTCCTATAACCTAGTTGTCTTTGAACTTAATATTTATGATTTGATACTGTTTTTGTAAATTTGATGGAGTTCCAAGTAGTTGCTCTGCATCCTTCGTTTCTTTCTCCCCCTTCCTCTCCACTCTAAATGATTTATAACATCCTTATTTATTTAGTGTAAAGAACTGAAATTGTGTAGGAAAATTTTAAACTTTCGAGACTCCCACATACCAAGCATTACAACTTTAATCCAAATGGCTTGCATAAATTAAACAAATAAATCTTCTTTATGAACTTATTTCTATTACCCTTAATTATAATAAAAATGAATTCCATTTGATACTTAAGAACCAGGTCAGTAATAGAATTTATTGTACTGTTACTCTATTAAAATCAAAGGCTGTGGTCATAAATCTCTTGGTGCCAAATGTGTGATGCAGTTTTTTTAATGGTTTCTTAGCTTGAGTTTCATAAGGTAGTAAATGTCTTCTCGCTATTATAGGAAAACAATTAGTTTAGTTAGTTGATCTGCGTTTCAGTTCGGACTTTGGAAGAAAATTTCTATGGTTGAAACCAACTTTTGGTCTTTCCTTTTTGCAGAGTTGTATTTTGACAGAGGAAACTTCTACGATTTTACATCTCTTGGTAAGTGTATTTTAGCATAAATATTTCTTATTGATAATCTGGTATTGAGTTATGTGGTGGAGAAAATTTGCATTTATTCTTTGTCCAGTCCTGTGCTTGTCTACAAGTTTTTATGGTATCTACCTTTGGTCAGCTTAATTTTCGGTGACAATCTTTTTTAGTCCAATGTGTCCTTTGACCAGTGGCTTGTAGATTATTGTTAATTGATAGCTCCTAAATCTTTCATGATTTTTTTTTTTTTGCAGTACGTGAACTTGATGTTCCTGGTGATTTATATGAAAGGAAAACATATCCTTTCGAATTTTCTACTGTTGAAATGCCATATGAATCATACAATGGAGTCAACGTAAGGCTTAGGTGGAGTATCCATTTCAACCTTTTGATATCAGTTAAATCATCATTTGTTTCCAATGATCTGAAGAATAATTCCGTTCAAACTTTCATTGTTTTGAGTTTGTTTTTCAATTTGAGGTTGCTTACATTGGCCAGTTGCCTTGCTTCAATTACTGTTTTCCTATGTTTCACAAAACCCTTAATTATTGTTTTCCTGAGTTTGTTTCTCAATTTGAGGTTGCTTACTGTTAGAATTTCCCATCTTTACCTTCACCTACTCCACTACACACTCCACTTCACCTACCTCCACTTCACCACACACTCCACTTCACCTAACCCACTATCACCTCCACTACACCTACTACCACATTTTCTTCTATATATAGATTGTATAGGAATTGTAATTTATCAATCATTCAACATTTACAAACATCAATCAATAATACAATTCTCTTTTTATCTTTATACATTAAATTTCTACATGGTATCAGAGCAAGGTTAAGCACTTAGTATTTTTCGCTTCACCGGCGGGGGGCAACCTCGCCTTGGCCGCCTGCCGGACCTCAACCTAGTCCGCTAGAATCTTCTTCACCACCTTCACAACGGAGCTCCGTGCCGGTGCCACCACCTTCCTCACCATGGCAGCAGCTTCAGCAATCATTCTGTTGTCGCGTCGCTTTCGATTTCAGATCTGTGTTGCCTTCATCCTCCACCATCAGATGGAGTAGATCCTCTTTTTCAACTAAGGTTTGACACCTAGTTGACGTATGTGATTCTCTATCATTTGTGGCCACAGCCTATCTTAGATCTGTGACCACCTTTGATCGAAAAATGATGATTGACATCAGGAACAAACTGCATTCAATGTAAGCCGCAGCTCCCTTCAGCTTTTTCAGCTCCAATCAGCCGGCACATAATCAGTGGGAAAGGTGTTGCTGGTATAGGAAATAAGCATGCAAGTCTTGCCAACAGCTCCATCGCCAACGGTGACGCACTTGATGAACCTCCTCTTCTCCACATTCTTGATAACACCAACAGCAACAGTTTGACGCATTTATTAGAGAAAAGGTCCAAAGGCAGCTCCTGTCAAAGCTGATGCTCAGCAGGCTGTACCACCTATTGAAGTGCCAGCACTATCCTTGCACATGGGGGGCACCCACTCATTTCTTTATTGTTTTCTTTTACTCACCCATGTGACCCACGATGCAACCTATACTTTTTCTTTTCTTTACACTCTTGTTCCCCACTTTCTTTATTATATATATATATATATATCTTTTTATTATATTATATTAAAAATAAAAAAAAAAAATATCTTCATCTCTCCGGTTAAATAATTGAAAGAGGAAAGGGTTAGAGCATGTGAAGTTGTATTCGTAAGGGTGCAAAGTGGATGACAAGAAGGCTAACGGTTGTATTCATTCCTTCAATACTTGTATTTATATAAGTTATGCTCAAAGTGTATGATAAATATCTCATACTAAAATGAAGTATAGACACATACCACAAAACAATGGATGTTCTCATTATTCTCCTCTTTATTTTTCTTTTCTTTTTTTGTTCTTAAATTTTCACTCTATTTGTCTTCATTTTTATTTTTATTTTTATATAGGTTCCATTGAAAAAGGAAAATGGTCAAACAATTATGGTTCCTCTCTTCCAAAGCCAAGAAAACATTGTTGGGGAGGTAACTTGTGCATGTCCTTTTCAAGCTTGCATGTGGTAGTATTTGGATGTTTCTATATCGCAATTGCAAGCTGGAGATGATTTCTTGTTTGTTCTATGTACAGGTTCTAATAGAGCCACAACAAGGAAAGAAGGTTGAACATACCGGCGTGAAAATTGAGCTCCTTGGCCAGATAGGTCTGTTTAATTTGCTTGAAGATGTAACTGACTACGTGTATTTTGTTTGGATCATATTTTCCTTTTTGTTTGTTTTTCCAATCTTATGAACAAAGATAAATCATAAAAAAAATAATATCCAAGATCAAGAAAGGGAGGTGTCAATGTATTGAAATATATGGAGTTGTTTCTTTTCTTTTGTTGTGTGTGTGTGTATGGAATTTTTTTATTTAATTTTTGGTAAATTCATGGTTATAAGGGCATGATTAACAATGTCCTTGTCTTATAAAAGCAACTGGGCTTTGTGAAAAAAAAAAAAGGAAAAAAAAAAGAAGGAAGACACATGTATGCATGTGTATTTATGTCTATAATTTCCTATAACCTAGTTGTCTTTGAACTTAATATTTATGATTTGATACTGTGTTTGTAAATTTGATGGAGTTCCAAGTAGTTGCTCTGCATCCTTCGGTTCTTTCTCCCCCTTCCTCTCCACTCTAAATGATTTATAACATCCTTATTTATTTAGTATAAAGAAATGAAATTGTGTAGGAAAATTTTAAACTTTTGAGACTCCAACATACCAAGCATTACAACTTTAGTCCAAATGGCTTGCATAAATTAAACAAATAAATCTTCTTTATGAACTTATTTCTATTACCCTTAATTATAATAAAAATGAATTCCATTTGATACTTAAGAACCAGGTCAGTAATAGAATTTATTGTACTGTTACTCTATTAAAATCAAAGGCTGTGGTCATAAATCTCTTGGTGCCAAATGTGTGATGCAGTTTTTTTAATGGTTTCTTAGCTTGAGTTTCATAAGGTAGTAAATGTCTTCTCGCTATTATAGGAAAACAATTAGTTTAGTTAGTTGATCTGCGTTTCAGTTCGGACTTTGGAAGAAAATTTCTATGGTTGAAACCAACTTTTGGTCTTTCCTTTTTGCAGAGTTGTATTTTGACAGAGGAAACTTCTACGATTTTACATCTCTTGGTAAGTGTATTTTAGCATAAATATTTCTTATTGATAATCTGGTATTGAGTTATGTGGTGGAGAAAATTTGCATTTATTCTTTGTCCAGTCCTGTGCTTGTCTACAAGTTTTTATGGTATCTACCTTTGGTCAGCTTAATTTTCGGTGACAATATTTTTTAGTCCAATGTGTCCTTTGACCAGTGGCTTGTAGATTATTGTTAATTGATAGCTCCTAAATCTTTCATGATTTTTTTTTTTTTTGCAGTACGTGAACTTGATGTTCCTGGTGATTTATATGAAAGGAAAACATATCCTTTCGAATTTTCTACTGTTGAAATGCCATATGAATCATACAATGGAGTCAACGTAAGGCTTAGGTGGAGTATCCATTTCAACCTTTTGATATCAGTTAAATCATCATTTGTTTCCAATGATCTGAAGAATAATTCCGTTCAAACTTTCATTGTTTTGAGTTTGTTTTTCAATTTGAGGTTGCTCACATTGGCCAGTTGCCTTGCTTCAATTACTGTTTTCCTATGTTTCACAAAACCCTTAATTATTGTTTTCCTGAGTTTGTTTCTCAATTTGAGGTTGCTTACATTGGTCGGTTTCTTATTTCACATTCGAAATTTTCTTGATTTGAGCTAGCGTCAGTTTTACTGCTCTCCTTCTCCATTTTTATGAATCTGTTATTAGTTGTGAGCTGGATCCAGCTCATTTTATGCTCCCTGGGAATATTTACCTTGGATATGCCTCTTCCCACCAATACAAAATGGCAAAAAGTTGGCCTCCTGCAGAAGAAATGTACTGTTACTAGATTTATGTGGTAATTCATGACACACCAGTACTGTGCTTATCACCTGGTGACTCAGAAACTGAGCATATTGAATGGCTCTTGGTTGGTTGACTATTGGTTGAAAGACTTCTGTGGTTGGCCAGCTTGAGTAGATGAAATGACATTTTTAATTGTTTAGAGTCCTCCAGTTATGTTAGTTGACTAGTTAGTTTTAATCAATAATTGAGAAACAAGTTTGAAGCCATTAATCTTGTCCTACCGTGTGTACACATACTCCTTTTTGGCTCTTATTTATGCTGCTACTGACTAACAGAAAATTTTCTGGTAGCTTGGATGAAATTTGAAAGTATAATGAACTTCTGAAAGAGAGTGAGATGACTTTGATAACTCGAGTATGCTTTTCTTCAACACTTGCAGGTACATTTTGAAAGTGACCATCAGTCGTAACATTGTCAGCAACGTTGTTGTGTACCAGGATTTTGTGGTAATTTTTTTCTATATCATTAAGCGAATAATAAAATTTGTTTTTTGATGGTTGAAATCATTGTTTTGTTCACATAACATGTAATTCTTCCATTTTGTCCTACTCGCTACACTATTTTACTTTCAATATATAGAACACACTACTTTAATTTAAGGCTGTGAAATCTCATTTAACAGTTACATTAAGCTTCTTCTGATTTATAAAGAAGAGCCAGCAGTAGTTGTTTTAGTTAACAATTATTTTTAATTTATTTTTTGTGTGTTGGGTGAGGGGGATTGTTGGGGCTAAATCTTTATAGTTTTATGTGCATTTTTATATTGAACATTAAGAAAATTCAAGTTTGATGTAGTGAAATTTGTTCATGCTATTGTGGTGAACTGCCTGTCACTAGCACTTGCATTAATTCTCCTCTAACAATAAGAAAATAAAAAATATTTGTGCCTCTTTTGATATCTTAACATCAATATCATAATTATCATCCAAGAACTTGAAAGCATCTTTAAAGGAAAAGTGATATATCACAATATAAGTAGCAAGGGATCATAAACCTATATTTAATGATATGAAGTGTGCTATAGTGGTGAGTGTTTTTTTTTTTTTTTTAAGTTTGTCTTTTGTGGTAGAATTTTCAGTATGTTTTTCTTCTGAATGGCAGTACTTTTGTGTTCAATAAAATCAGTGTTGTATTGTATGGTACTAAACTAAGTTTTGATTTTGTAGAGAACTTGACAGATGCCACTCAAAGTAGATATTGTATTATTATTATCCATTATATTTTCAGATATATGGGTGTTCATTATTTATAGTATTTTAAGGATGCTATGTTTCTGCATCAGGTTCGGAACTACACACCACTTCCATCAATCAATAACAGCATAAAGGTCAGTACACTATGCTTAGTTAGTTATTGTTGTGTCATGGTGATGGATTTCATTTTTTTTAAGTAAGAAAGTTTTTACTTAAATGAAGGATCTTCAAATCTTTCTTGGGAAATTTAGCCAAAACTCCTCCATTGGACCCTTGTTTGGTGAAAAGAATGTCCCAATTTATTTTGCTTCATAAACCCCCCTTAGGAGGAGGTGCATAATTGAGTAAAGACAAAGTAAAATATCCTTTTTTTTTTCTTGAACAATATTACCAGAGTAACATGTTATTGTGAAACAGAATAATATATTACTGTGAAACAGAGTAACATGTTACTATTTACATCAATTTTAACGGTAATAATTGTATTTTTTTTAAAAGAATTTCATAGTTAACATGGTTCTTATTTGATAGATCTTGATGAGAGAATTCTAAAAATACTAATTTTATAAAAAAACCGACATCTAGATCAAAAGTTATATTATTTTAAAGTTTAATATTTTGGTAATAGTGGTATGTGTTGGACTTTTCAAGGAAAACTTTTTGTGTTTGTCCTTAATGGATTAAAGTTTTATTATGAAGGGACTTTGACCAAATCCCCCATCTTTCTTCTTTATTTTTTGTCGCACGGTATACATCGGTAGCGGCTAGTTGGTAGTAAGGGAAGGGGGCAACACAAAGGGCATCAAACTCTTCTCCATAGGATTTGAATCTGCAACCTCACACCACAAAGTGGAGCTACACAACGACTAGACCGAAGGCCCTGGTTGAGAGATCTTTAGTTTGCTACTTCCCATTTTGTTTCCTTCTATGATGAGTTCCTTCAGTTTCATTTAGATGAGTTTGTGGTCAACAATTTAACATAGTATCAAAGTTAATGATTGGCAATCCTGACGCATGGTGGTGGACTTAGGCTTGGCCAACGATCTCGGGGATAATGGTTTAAAACCAAGGTTGGTGACAAGACAGACATAAGAAAAGTGAAAAAGATTGGTGTTGCAAACCAGTGAATGTAGATTTTGGAGATTTGGCACAATTTGGTGAGAATTGATAGATGGGTCTTGTGGAAAGTGTGGTGGCGGTCATTAAGAAAAGAAATAGGATTATGTTAGTTAAACTAGTTATTGGAGGGAATATAGTGAACGTTATTAGCGCTTACGCCCCTCAAGTAGGGTTAGATGATCAGACTAAGAGGGATTTTTTGAAGCAAATGGATGAGATCTTACAGGAGATACTCGTAGGAGAGAACCTGGTTATAGGTGGAGATTTTAATGGCTATGTGGGCATAGATAAAGTAGGTTATGAAATGGTGCATGGTGGATACGGTTTTGGTGACAGAAATGAGGCAAGGTTGGTGACAAGATAGACATAAGAAGAGTGAAAAAGGTTGGTGTTGCAATTTAACCAGTGAATGTAGATTTTGGAGATTTGGCACAATTTGGTGAGATAATTGCCAAGGGTCTTGTGGAAAGTGTGGTGGCGGTCATTAAGAAAAGAAATAGGATTATGTTAGTTAAACTAGTTATTGGAGGGAATATAGTGAACGTTATTAGCGCTTACGCCCCTCAAGTAGGGTTAGATGATCAGACTAAGAGGGATTTTTTGAAGCAAATGGATGAGATCTTACAGGAGATACTCGTAGGAGAGAACCTGGTTATAGGTGGAGATTTTAATGGCTATGTGGGCATAGATAAAGTAGGTTATGAAATGGTGCATGGTGGATACGGTTTTGGTGACAGAAATGAGGCTGGAGAAAGAATCTTAGATTTTGCGTTGGCTTCTGACCTGGTGGTGGCCAATACTATGTATAAGAAGAGGGAGGAACATTTGATAACTTTTAAGAGTGGATTAGTTAAGAGCCGAATAGATTATTTCTTAGTGAGAAAAGTGGACTGCCTAAAATGCAATGATTGTAAGGTGATTCCTGGTGAGAGTCTGGTCTCTCAACATAGGATTTTGGTACTAGATTTATGTTTTAGAGGGCAATACCAAATTAGGAAGGATGGTGGGCGTCGTAGGACGAGATGGTGGGACTTAAAAGGGGATAAACTAGAAATATTTAAGAATTGAATGGATAAGGAAGGTACTTGGAACTTAGAAGGTGATGCTAACACTATGTGGAATTCGATGGCCAATTGTATGAGGAGAATCTCAAGGGAAGTGCTTGGAGAGTCGAAAGGAACGGGATCCAGCTCTAGGGAAACTTGGTGGTGGAGGGAAGAGGTCCAAGCACATGGTTCTTATTTGATAGATCTTGATGAGAGAATTCTAAAAATACTAATTTTATAAAAAAACCGACATCTAGATCAAAAGTTATATTATTTTAAAGTTTAATATTTTGGTAATAGTGGTATGTGTTGGACTTTTCAAGGAAAACTTTTTGTGTTTGTCCTTAATGGATTAAAGTTTTATTATGAAGGGACTTTGACCAAATCCCCCATCTTTCTTCTTTATTTTTTGTCGCACGGTATACATCGGTAGCGGCTAGTTGGTAGTAAGGGAAGGGGGCAACACAAAGGGCATCAAACTCTTCTCCATAGGATTTGAATCTGCAACCTCACACCACAAAGTGGAGCTACACAACGACTAGACCGAAGGCCCTGGTTGAGAGATCTTTAGTTTGCTACTTCCCATTTTGTTTCCTTCTATGATGAGTTCCTTCAGTTTCATTTAGATGAGTTTGTGGTCAACAATTTAACATAGTATCAAAGTTAATGATTGGCAATCCTGACGCATGGTGGTGGACTTAGGCTTGGCCAACGATCTCGGGGATAATGGTTTAAAACCAAGGTTGGTGACAAGACAGACATAAGAAAAGTGAAAAAGATTGGTGTTGCAAACCAGTGAATGTAGATTTTGGAGATTTGGCACAATTTGGTGAGAATTGATAGATATACATATGGTTAGAAATCTATACAAGCTCATGGGGAATGTTGTGACAGGTGGAGAGCAACCGTCAAACACGAGATGGGTAGTATGGGTCGTGAGTGAACAAAGAGAGCAAAAGTTGTAGAGGAGCACACACAAGTGCAAGAGCACAGGCATATAGGAGAGCATGCAGGGTACACTCATGTCACGTGTTTAGATGAGTTGGTTAACAATTTAGCATGACACTTGTTTTGTGCCCATGTCCATGCTTCTTAGTGCATGGGACAATTGATGGTGGAAGTTTTTCAGAATGTAATGATGTTTCCCAATGGACTTGAAAAGAAGCATAAGTATTTTAGATACCATAGTAATTCCTACTTAATTTGGCTCTATTTTCCTTAACCCCCGTTGTTTTAGGTGATGGTCAACTTCTTTATATATTCTAGAAGAAAATGCAATTATTATCCATTTCTTTTTTGTACTAAGTTTGTATGTATTAATGTTTTCTGTAGATGGAAGTTGGAATTGAGGATTGCTTACACATTGAATTTGAATACAATAAAAGCAAGTAAGTCCAAGAAGCTAATGTTCGCATTTTTAACTTCTTATTCATGCAAACAACTTTATGCACATCAAGAGTAGGAGAAGATCCTCATATTTGCTAATCAGAGTCAAATGTGTAGGTATCATTTGAAGGATGTTATTATCGGCAAAATATACTTTCTTCTTGTGAGGATCAAGATTAAAAATATGGAGCTTGAGATCAGGCGTCGGGAGTCCACGGGGGCCGGGCCTAATACATATGTTGAGACAGAGACCCTTGCAAAATACGAGTTGATGGATGGTGCTCCTGTTAGAGGTACATTTAGTTGTATGGAACATATACGTATGTATCGAATTTTTTAACACAATTATTATTAGAAAATGTAACATGGATGTATGGGTGATTCTTCAACATATTGGCGTCTCATGGCCATGCTTTTAAACGTCCGAGTTCATCTGATACATCTATTATTATTATTATTGTTATTATTATTATTATTATTATTTTTGGTCAGATACAACTATTATTTGCTTTGTTATTATTGTGCCTTTGATGTCAATAACAATGAATATCTTTAATGTCTAGTCCTACTCATTTCTTTTACTATTTCCTTCAGTTAGCACAAATGACTACAATGTTAACTTAGTTATATTTTGCCCATTTGTTCCCTTGCAGGAGAGTCAATTCCTGTTAGACTGTTTTTTAGTCCATATGAACTAACACCAACTTATCGCAACATCAACAATAAATTTAGTGTAAAGTACTATCTAAATCTTGTCCTTGTGGACGAAGAGGATCGGCGGTACTTCAAACAGCAAGAGATCACTGTGTATCGCCTTCTTGAGACATCTTGATGTTCATAATGATGCCATGCTTGCCTTTGGAAGAAACAAATCTTGATTTACATTTGCTCAATGGACACAATCTGCTTTAATCAGCATGGGAATTTGAAATTTGCCAGGTAAATTTAGAACAGAATGCGTTGAAGCATCTTTTAGTAACTGTTAACCTTTGCTCAATTTTTTGAAGGATTTAGCTATGTTGTATGTGTTCTTCGATGATGCCTCTTTTGGGTTAGCTTCTCTAGTTTCAAAATCCCTTGTGATGAAAGGTCCTTTTTTGTGGACTATTTATGTTTGATTTTTTAGGGCAGTGTGGTGAAACCTGCTTTTTTAAGGCGAATGTGTGTTGGTTTTGTTGATGATACAGACCCTGTAAATTGGCGTTGAAATTTTGATTGTACTGTCAATGTATTTGTCGTTTCTAGTTTATCGGTAGTCTAAGTCCAACTTCATCCTGTTACTTGTTTGATCTATAAATTTGAAATGGGAATTGAAAATTCGTGTGATTTGAATACTTATTTAAGTTATTATGTGTTTTTAATGAGACTGAATAAATTGGGACATGAGGACAGAGAGTAAAGAGACTCAAGTTTGAGTTTCTTTACTTTATCATCCAAAAAAGGATTCTTTAGAACTATATATACTGCAGTGAATAGCTTCAAATTCAATTCGAACATACATCAACATATACACTGCAATTTATGATTCTATATTTGTTTGATAGTTTTCAATAAATGTTTCTCCTTTTACATCTAGGGTTCAAATCTCGGTTGATTTGATGTGTGCATGCCTTGCTTGTCCAAAATATTCATTTTATAATAATCATAAAGAAGGTAATAATAATAATTATTATTATTTTTATTATTATTAATCATTGAAGGCAGATTAATAATAATAACTATCTCCATTAATAATAACTTAAAAATAACTATCTTCATTGAGTTTTAGTGTGATGGATTAATAATAATAACAATAATAATAATATTATTATTATTATTTATAAATATAAAATGTAATATATACACATCGTTTTTGAAATTGTAAGTTGATAATCATAATCAAAAGTTAAAAGAACTCATTTTTCAGCTTGTACGGTACATAATCAGTTTTTTTAAGGTTATTTATACCTCATTAGCTATAAGTAGTAGTTAGTGCAGTTTATATGAGCTACTTATAGCGGGTTTTTTTGTTATTATTTGAAAGTCAAATGAGGGGTATTTTTGGTTTTTGCTTTCTGATGATTAGTTTTTAACTTACAATAAGTTGCACCAAACAGGTCTATGTTGTGATGAAAATATATGTTGCATTTGATAGAGTTTTAGAATTATGATTTGAAAATAGAGTCGTATTTTAAGTTTGTGAATTTTAGAATTAAGATTTGAGTGTACAAAATTTGTTTGGTTATGAGTTTTAAAAAGTGTTTGAATTGAGTGATGCGACATAATATTGAAAAGTGAGTGTTTTGAATAATAGGTGTGGAATTAATTTTCTAAAATTGTAACCAAACAACACACACAAACTAAAGATTAAAATTAAACTTCAAAAACTCTACCAAACAGAAGTGATTGGTGTTTCCGAAGGACCTTAGTTTCCCAGAAGCTCCAACTGCAGAATTTACCAAAAGTCACTTGATGGGGTCTCTAACCCTAAAACGTGTATATAGCAAACTAATAGCAAATGCCCAAGACAAAGACTTTAAAGAGGACCTGAGCTGAGTTTGTCCATTTCAAGTCCCATTTCTTGGAACCCGTAGTGTAATTGTGAAGTGTTGTTATTGATAGCCAAAATCTACCTTTCATCTCTTTTTAGCTTTTCTTACTCTTTCCAAGTAATTTCCTTAAATTTATTGCTGAGAAAAAACGCATTATTATGGGTGAAGGAGGTTCCATGACAGCTAAAGATTCTCCGTTTCTAAATATTTTGTCTCTCGATATTAAAATATTCACAATTATTAGATTATGTAAAAATTTCAAGATACAAAAATCTCGAGACATTAAATAGTTTTAGATGTTTTGAATCATATAAGAATCTCAAATTGCAAAAATCTTGAGACTGAGACATGTCTTAATGTTATGCAATGCGTGTACAAGTAATCATGTGTGTGGGTAATCCGTAAAGAAAGATCTCTATAGTATAAAATGTCTTTTTTTGGGGGGTGGGTAAGTGAATATAAATGCCTTTATATACAATATAAAGAAACATTAGGGTCTAGATGGGGAATAGGCCTTGTTTTGTTTTAGTTTCAAATTTTATTTGTTTTTTTGTTTCTTTGGTTTTTAATTTTGTGCTTATGACAGTAATAAACTATATATATATTTGAAAAGTTTGGAAACCCTCATTGATTCTATATAATTTTAGGAAAATGCCTCTGACCCCCAGTGGGGGTGCTGGGGGGTCGTGCGTGTAGGGCCCTGATTGGGCGAAAAAAAAAACTGTTTTTTTTTTTTTTTTTTTTTTTTGTTTTCAGCCAATGAGGCCGCTGGGGGTCGGACCTCCACTGGGGGTCTGTAGCATTGTTCATAATTTTAATTCTTGTGAGAAAATAGTTCTTAAAAATTCACGAAAGAATTTAGAAGTATGAGAAAGCCTTCCTGAAAAAAGTTTTCGGAAATATTTTATCAAACATTGTATATCAATTTACTTTTTTATTATTTTTTGAGAACCCAAAAATAAATAAATAAATATTGGAGGCTGATCACTGTCCATTTCACCAGGTAGGGTTGGAATTGGTTGGCATCCACAACTTCAAGGATTGGCTTAATTAATTTTTGGTTTTGACTTAATGTGCATTCATTAGTTCAAGGTTTGGTTTTTTAGCTCAAGAAGGCTTTAGCACCATAAATCTTGCTAAAAAATAAATAAATAAAAAATCTCCATGGCAAAGGATCCTCTATGTTCAAATGTCTTTGTCCTAGTGTTTCCAAATATGTATAATTATTATATCATATAAAAATTTTGAAAGTGTAAAATTATCCAATAGTTATAAATATTTTGGAACATGAGATAAAAGACATTTGAGATGAAGGGTCTTGCCCAAAATTGTAGTCCACTTTCTGGAGCTGGGGTGCTGGCACAGCAGCCTGCTGTGCCCCTTTATGGGAAGGTCGTTCCGAGTGTCTTTCGATAATTTTAATCGTTCATATTATAAAGTTTGTCAAGAATATTATTCATGTAAAAATATAAGTTAATCGGATATTTGTAATTCCATGATTAGGTCGTAATTATTTTTAAAAATTTATAAAGTTATGTTAATCCTTAATTTTTATAAAAATAAATGTACTTTTATTTTAGAACTGCAGATATTTAATCAATTTGATTTTTTACATAATTAATTTACTTAATAAATCTTATAATATGAACAATTCAGATCATCGAGAAAAGCCCAGAACGACTTCCCACAAAAAGACACAGTAGGCTGCGGTGACTTGAAACACAGAGCACCCCAGGTCCCCAATTTCTTTGCATCCTTGATAAAAATAAATGTGACAGAGCACCCCCTGGTTGGACTATATATATATTGATAAATTACATTGATTTTTTTTTCAAGTTTGGAATAGTATAATAATTTTTATAAGTTTAACATAATTATATTATATTTTTTAAAAAATTTAATTCACATTATACTTGACTCTCTTTTAATTAAAAAATCAATCATTAAATCATATTAATAGAAAATGATATTATTTTCTTTTTTATACTAAAATATATATTTTATCTATTTATCTTTGATATAGTTATATCATTTGTATTATTTTTTATCATCTTAATTTTATTAAAAGAAAGATTGATATAATTATTTAAAAATTATAATGCATATTATAAGTTCTTCAAAATGATGAAGTTTAAAATGTTGGGGCAATCCCACATCGCCTGGGAGGGACATTTGCAACCAACTTATAAGCGTATTAATCATCTTCACATTGTAAGAGGCCTTTTAAAGCTGTAAGGCCGACAGACGCCGTTTCGCCACCTCGTAAAAGCGGACAATGTTTTACCGGGCGCAAGAAGCCAGTCACGTCATAAAACAAAATAAAATAAAAAGGATAAATTACAATAAGATCAAAAAGTTAATCTAATCTAAATATAAATGAGACGGTCTAGGAGACGCCTATATCAGAGTGTTATTGCTTCAATTCTCTTATCAATTGTTTTAAAATAATTAATAAAAAAATTGTGCAACACGTAAAAGGGGAAGAAAGGAAGAGAGGAGAAGAAAGAGGGTGGGCGTATATGTGTTGACACTTGGCAAATAAGACAAAAAAAAATAAAAAATAGAAAAGGACTAAATTGACCTTTCATATTTAATATATGTGTCAAAAGTGTGTGGCCAGCACAATTTCTAATACCTAAAAAAACACTTAATATAAATGTAGTTAATTTTACTGTCAAAATCAATTACAATTGTAGAAAGGACCACAGAGATATATCCTATTCACATACAAAAATTTCTTCCTAAAAAGAGTTATTGGTAACTATTTAAAGGTGAATCTTTAAATTTTGTGGAGTTTATCTCTTATGTTCATTGATATATGAGTAATACTATGATTACTTAGGTACCGTTTGGGAAGAAGTTGGTTGGGTTTTTTTGGCTATTTTAGTCACAAAAAATAAAATAGTCTATTTTAGCTATAACAAACAAAACATCACATCCAACCCATAATCATTACACTCTTCTCTTACAAAAAAAACCAAAAAACCAAAAAATCCTTCCCAAACCAAGCTTTTTAGCCCAGGCTAAAATAGCTAAAAAAGTCAAAAAGCCAACCCACTTCCCAAACGAAGGCTTAAAATCTTATTAATAATTTTACTAAAAATATTTATATCTAAATATTATTGGAGGTTTAAATTTTTTTTTTTTTTTGACAATTAATTGCATTTGACTATTTATATTTTTAGTAAAATTTTTAATAGGATGGTTAGTAAGTGTATAATTATTTTTATATTTGGTCCTTTTAGATTGACTTTTTATTAGCACATTTATTTGGGTTTACAGTTTTTTAAGCTAACTTTTAGTTTTGTCTTAAATCCTAAAATAAATATTAATTGACAAATACATTAAAAAAAACAACAAGAAGTTTAGGGGTTATTTTGGGTGTCATAAATAAGTGTACTTTTTGGACTTAAAAGTTGAGGGAAAAAATATGATTGTTTGGGTTAACTTTTTGACTTTTTATAAAAAAATGTGTATTAAAAAATTGTATAAATTAGTGTGTATGAGAAGATTAGAGTGTGAGTTGTACGGCTGTCATGTCTGCAAAGGTGGAATAGATGCTAAGAAGTAATTGTCCATTTTTGGGCATTGCACTGGACGGTGTTCTTCGGCTCGTGGGGGCCATCACGGATCTCATTTTGATAATCTGAACCGTTCAATGTGTAGAATCAATGTTTTCAAAACCAGACCGGTGAGCGAACCAAAAAAGGAACTGGGTGGACGGGTCACCGGTTCAACCGTCGGGTGAAAGCGGTCGAAACGTGACGTCATAATTAATATTATATAATTAAAAAATA